ACCTTATTTGCTACCAGTTATTACTGGTAATTACTAGTAACATTGACCCGACGAGCCCATTGACCCGACGACCCGACGAGCGCCGGACCGATAAAAATCCTAATCTACTTTATAAAGCTATTTAAATTATTTTATCTTATTAATCTAAAGTAAGGGCTAATAAAGTATTTACTAAGATATATAGTATTAGGTCTACAGAATATAGAAAGAGATAAGTTACTATTCTAAGTTAAAGGGAATTAATGGGATTCTTATAGTGATAGTTTATAATTAAATAGAAATAGTTTAAGACTGTTATTCCACAGCTAGCTATTATTCTTCTATAGATACTAAGTATGATCGTATAGGATTTAAATATAAAGTAGTTAATCGTAAAGTAACTAGATATAAAATAGATAGTTGAGATTAAGATATATTTTGACTTATAAAAAGTATATCTAGGTGAAAATACAGATTGTCTAATTATCGAAGACTTTAATAAGAGTAGGATATAGGATATCGTTTATTTTATATAGTAGGTTATTAATATTAAGGTATAGGTTTAAATTTATCTTCAGAGAATAGATTAATATAATCGTCTTAAGGAGTTAGAACCGGAGCCGGGATAGGATCAGGTAAAAAACAGTCTCTATCATCTCTTAATCGTAAATCTATGATATATATAACTCGGGGTTATTAAAGCGGGTGAGGGACATTAGAGATATAGTCATCTTCGATATTATCGTCAATGATGGTAGTTTCTTCAAATTCATCCGCAAAACGTTAAGACGTATTGACTAACTAATCGATCTCATCTATTTTACTATGATTAGACATACTAGCTATATTAGTGATCGTCTGGATAAAACCTGGGAAGTTGAGAATCTTCTGGGATAGTCGATGTTAAAGCAGAGTGATACCCTCTCCTTCACAGCGCACACCCTCCAGTCAGAATACTCGGAAAATAAAACAAAGCTCAGAGCCAGAATTCTTCGTTAGAAGTTAATTCTGGATCGCTGAGGAGCTCATAACCTCATAAAGACTAAGAGAGAGAAGAAAGGGCGAAAACACACTTCGTTGGTTGCGCAAGAGAGGAAGGAAGGGAAAAGAAAGTAAGATCAGAACTATGTATAGAAGGGAAGTCATATGACTTCCAACAATATCTCTACGCCCCAGGGCGCAGACTCGAGCAGAGAGTGGTCTCGATCTTTCTCAGTTGGCTGAAAAGATACGAAGGCTATGTGGCCTATTTGTTTTCATCAATAACTCCAAAGTTTACTTTATACACCAGACGGCCAAAGACTACCTTATCAAAGAGGCTATGTCCAACGATTTATTGTCGGTGTACTCTTGCAGTTTGATTAACGCAGAGGACCAAATGGCCTACATATGTTTGCGATTCTTGTCAATGGAGGTACTGAACAATATCGACGCCCAGACACATCCCGAACTCGCAGACTTCTTGGAATACTCTGCAATATATTGGGCTGACCATGTACGAGAAATGTTCTTGGGTGCAGAACGAGGGACTGGCAATCTACTGGATTGCATCTATAACGCAGAGGCAATCGGATCGTCTCCATGGGTCTCCATACTTTGGAGGCACATGATGGATTCAAAGGGCAATATTCCTGCTTTGAATGGCTTGCATATTGCAGCGCTGAGCGGGCACCAGAAGATAGTAGTGCGGCTTCTTCTCAAAGACCGAATAGACCCAAACATCGCGGATACCGCGGGGTCGTATGCATTAACATATGCCTCGTCGGAAGGCCATCATAATGTTGTCCAACTTTTGATCCAGCATGGAGCACATGTCAATGCCCAGGACAATATTTTTGGCGGTGCACTGCGAGCCGCTTGTCTGGAAGGTCATCAAAAAACTGCCCAGAAACTGCTAGAATGTGGAGCCAATCCTAATGCTGAAGACAGCCGCGGCTATACTCCCTTGTGGCCCGCTTGCATAGCCCGGAGAAATGACATCGTGAGGATGCTCTTAAACCATGGAGCTGATTTTGATTTTCCTGGTATTTTTGTTTTCGCGACTTTGATTGCGGATCCTAAAAATTCAGCAGAACTTGTGCAGATGATGTTGGATCATGGAGCTAGTACCAGTACACAACCGGAAGATCCTGCATTTTTCCTACTCGTGGCTTGCTTGGGCGGAAACCAGCAAATTCTCAAAATTACTCCGATGTGCGGGCGCCAATGGGAACGATAAGACTGTGCGTTTGATACTAGCCTCGAGGCATGGTCTCAACCCCCATGTGTGCAGCGATGTGCTAGGAGTCGTTTGTTGGAAAGGGTATGACAAAGTTGCGCGGGTCATGATAAAACACGGAGTCCAGCTCAGCCCTGAAGATCGGTTCAATTCACTCAGATTCGCTTGTTTAGATGGATATGAGAAAATTGTGCGTCTATTGCTGACCTCTGGGGCTACCCTCGAAGCCAATCAGTACCAAACAGTCCTGCGGTATGCTTGTTGGAAAGGGCATGGCAAGATTGCGCGGATGCTCTTAAGTCAAGCTGCCCACTTGAACGCGGAAGACCACTTCAATGTATTACAACAGGCGTGTTTCGACGGAAATTGTTACATTGCGCATATCGTACTGACATCCGGGGCCGTTCTCAACCCCGAGGAGTACCAGACAGTGCTAAACATTGCTTGTTGGAAAGGGCACGATAAGATTTTACGGATGCTCCTCAAACACGAAGCCCACTTCAAAGCCGACGAGCACTCTGAGAGGGTAGCCTCTGTTTGTTACGAAGGGAATGAAAAGATCTTACATGTTTTGTTGAGCCATAGGCCTCTATCCAACAATGAGCTCTGCCAGGAGGGGCTGCGAGTTGCTTGCAGGGGTGGAAATTCCAGACTTGTTCGTATGTTGTTGACGCAGGGAGTCAATGCCAATGCACGAGAAGGAGAACGTTGGACTGCACTGAAGATTGCTTGTCTTGCGGGACACGACAAGACTGTACAGGTCTTGTTGAAACATGGTGCTGAGGTCAATTTCCGGGGTAAAGACAAACTATCTGCATTACAGGTTGCTCGGTACAAGGGACACGAGAATATCGTACAGATACTGGTAGAACACGGCGCAGAAGATGATAGCCCCCTTGCCTTCTTGTCAAGCCGATACACCGTGCTCCTGTGTCTTTTTTGGTATTCCGCGATATTGGTTTACTATCTTTCAACTAGGTAGAGCTAATGTTATATGATGTGAGATAGACAGACGTTGATGTACCCATCATTTTACGCAGTGCTCACTTTGATTCATCTCATATGCTCAATCATGTAAGGTTTCCATTATAGTTGAATAGCAGTCATTGCATGGAGGACGAAAGAAGGTGAGACACCCGGCCCAAGCTTTCAATACATAAGCTCAATGGAGTGGAAATTCTCATCAATTATGTTGCGAGGACGCCAAACCTGAAGACCGAGAGCGACATAAAATCTTCCCAGAGAATGGCGGTACCGGGCGCATCCATGGATGTGGCAGACGCGAGAGGCTCATTCTTTGAGGCCCAATAGGTAGCACCCGAAGATTATGTGTCCCCCGGTGCTGCGTATCCGCCCGGGTGCTCCACCCTTCCCCCCGCTTCCGGGCCAGTCTGGGCATCGGGCATACTACGCCACTGGGACTGTATCGAGCGACTTCTTTCTTCTGACCAACTTCCCAAAAAATCCTTGGAAAATTTAACCTGTAGCTACATAGTTAGTAGCCACGATAAGCTACATACTTTTGAGGGACTGGACGCAAGGTTTAAAGAAAAAGAAAACAAAAAAACATACAACAGTGAGGATTCGCTGGTGGTCACCCACCCAACTACTAACTCACCGGCGTGTGGCTTAAGTACGGCTGAGCGGACGGGAAGCCCTGTTTTCCACACCCTGTGGTCGTATGTGCTTGATGACCGTGTGAATACAAATATATTGAGCAAGCTCTCGGGCTTGAAATTTCATACAGTGAAACCTCTGAAATGTTAACACCCTGGGGCTCCATCTGTGGACGGTGTAATTAAATCGGCCTGGCTAACGGTCAAATATGCCGCAGGACTAGTTGATGTCAGTAATCTAGAAGAAGAGAGCTTTTGCCTTAAGCCTTCTGGTTCCTCCGAACAGTCCATTACCTTAACTCGATCTTTTAGGGAACGGTTCTTTTCCCCCAATAGATCGCGCAAGAGATACTAGGGATCGGCGAAAATAGCATTCGATGATAGCCCCAGGCCTTAGAATATTAGAACAGTCTGGGTATTATACATCAAAGACGAAGAGCCCTACAATAAATCGAGTTCAATCGGGATAGCGGTTGCTGAAGCTGGCAAAACTGATCTTGATGGTACCGACTTATAGAAGCGGGTGCGTACTTTTTCTGGCACCAGTCAGACAGATTTTGCAGACTACCAAAGAAAGATTTTTACAATTATATGATATCAACGCTAGCTGTATGAGATGAGGATAAACAGTGATATGTACCTTCAAAGGTTGAATAAAGCCTTCAAAATTGTAACGCCATCCTGATAAGTTCCCAGGTTTTTTTGGTCACTCAAAACTAGTTTTCCCCGAGCCTGACTCGATGTTTTGGGACTGAGAAGGGCTGTCATCGATCCGCGCAATTCGCATGGTAGACAGAGTCATTGGCGCCCGGACTGCAGTTCAATGTGTGTAAAAGCGGCCATGGAAAAGCTTGACGCAGTCTTTGCCAATGTTGACTTCAATGTTCTCGTTCTTCCGATGTAAACATTCCTATATTTCGATATATAATGAACAATATCACTGCCCAGGTGGTGATACTGGGATGAGGACTGCGATAAAAGTACTCTATATATCGTGAAATATTTGCAAGGTTATGGGATTCTCGTCATATTATTTCCCCGGGCCAAGGTTGGAGTCTCCTGAAACTTAGTATATTGGAGTGCACGCGCAGTTTGCCTCAGCCAACTACGCGCTTCAAGCCCAGGAGGGCTACGAGGATTTGCTAAATGCAGCATTGATACAAAAACCGAGATATCAAAACCTTGGAAGCTGGAAAAGATGGAACAAGTTTGCAATAAGCAAGAAATGTGGGGCATTTCATTTCTCTAGCGCTTTCAAAAAGCCCCAACGGACTTTGTCCGAATACCCCTTTTCCTTCCAGTCGTTCAGATTAGCCGGGAAGAATTCTATGTTGTCGAGCAGCGCCTGCTCATGTGCCACGATGACCCAAACATTATCCATGGAATCGAATGACTGAAGCCTTTGGACTGATTTCTGCGCCTGAATGAAATCCACCACATTCTTTTCATCAACACCGAAGAGTGGCCCGGACTCGCTCCTTTCCAAAAGCCTCTGTAGCAGGACCCCAGGGCACAACGACTGGACCGTAGGACACTCTTTGGGAATCGAGCGATTCACCGTAGGCCGAAGCTGACCTGGAAAATGGCATGTGTCACCTGCCATCAGAATAAAGCTGTTCCGGCTGGCATCTTCGGGACTGGTCGTCACCCGAGCTAGAGCGGCCATGTGTGTATAGGTGTGACCAGGCGAATCGAGAAGATAGAAGCTTCCATCTCCGAAGTAATCATATGCTCGAGAGGGCCCGACCTTCAACCCTTTCTCGGCATCGTCGAATGACACCTCGACGAGCTCACGACCGCCCTTCATATTTTCTGCGAGGAGATTCAAGTCGGGAGTTCTCTCCAGAGAAGGTGAGACGTAATGCTCCTTAAACTTGGGGCCGACGATAACCTTCGTACTGGGAGGGAACATGGTTACGTCCCCGACATGATCGGCGTGATGATGACTCCAGATGACGGCTTCGATGTCCACAAGTGGCACGCTGTTCTCCTCGAGAATGTCGCTTACGTTCTTGTCTACATCAATTTGCCACCCCGGTGGTGCTCTGGTTGGTATGCCCGTATGTTTCCAATAGTCTTTGCGAAGACCGAGGTCGAATAGTAGGGCTCGTCCCGAGGAATGCTGAATGAGGAAGGAGTACGACGGTAATTTGAGAGTGATTGCTTCCAAACCATCTGTTGTTGGAAGAAGATGGGAAGCCGGAACAGACATGCGGGTCGTACTATCGAGATTAATACGTTTTCTCCAGTCTGGTGAAGTGATCCTCACCTGTCAATTACAGAGACCTTGACCGAAGTCAATCCATCAGGAATAGAAAATTGATTCATTGAGTAGACTTCCAAAGCTTTCAAGGTTCTACTGGAGATAGATAGACCTGTGCTTGTGCAACTTTTGGCTGAAGGGACGAGCTCTGGATAGGTGGCTTGATACTTATGAATAGCTTCCACTTCCACGAGAAGAGAACACGTGCTGGGGTGACAATCGCTAGATTTATGATGACGCAATTTGAATCGATTGATCATACGGAGTATGAAAGACTGATTCGATTGTAGCCTAGCTGACCATCCCGGCCTCAAATGACAACGGCAGAAAACAAGGTTTTCTCGTTCAGTAGCGTAATGAAATCTGACGCTCAGATCTAATTCGATCTTGACCTCGTATAAAGCACATACATATGCTTTCAATCATCTTGCATGCAGCTCATATGCAGAGATAGCTTCGTTACTGCATCGCTGATCAAGAGCCTTGAAAAAAAAAAAAGAAAAGAAAAAAGAAAAAAAAAAAAAAAAAAAAAAAAAAAAAAAAAAAAAAAAGACAAAAAACCCACCAACAAATTCAAAACGTTGGTTATGAATTGT